CGTCCAATGTCTGCTGATGATATCCAAAAAGCAAAAATGCGAGCACAATTTATGCAGAGCAAGTATGGGAAATCTCGTTCATCCCATGAAAATAAAGAATTGAAGACTGAAGGTGTGGACAAACTTACAATCTCTCAGGCAAGCATTTTGCCCGTGGTACCCAAAGTTCCAATTCGGTCTAATATTGAGGAACCGAAGAAACCTGCGACATATCCTTTGAAAGAGAGGGAAGTTCCTAATAAGCCCGAAACTTCTCTTGCCCCAAAGCGGAGTCTGGATTTGAAGGAGCCCATATTAGAGAAGTGCCAGAGAATCCAGATCCCATGGAAGATGCCTCCAGGTACATATGCTTTTAGTGGCTCTTTTCTGGTTCCTTTGACTCTTTGTTCGTAATTTTAAATGTGAAATCAGTAGGCTTAATGGAAAGGGAAAAGGGAAAAGGAAAAAAAAGAAGATATCCTCCCAAATTGTATACAGTTTGTTGGGAGTTTGCCTTCAGTATTTCCAACATATATCATAGTGGGAGAGCTTCTCATTGATCAATAATTTCCTTGAGCAACTATTTTTCGTCTTTTTTGTTCACTCATAAGAGTTGAACTCAAGGCCTCCCACTTACTAAACGGGTGCTCTAGCTCAATCTTATAGCAGTTGAGTGTTGCTCTTTCCTTAGACGCTTGGTATTGGTAGGGAATGTTACAGTCCAGGCATCAATATTATCCAGTAGATTAAATGTGCTGCATAGAGAAAACGATTGGAGGATGTAATTTCTTATATGTTACAATAGCTGGGTGTACTGGTGCCTGAGTGGGTGTTCCTTGCCGGATAAAAATGGCTCGCTCAGTTTAGGTTTCTAACTTTCTAAGCATATTAATGTCATTGTTTGTTTTGTTGACAGAAATGAATTGTACCTCATTTTCCTCTCCTTGCTTTCTCCTCTATTCAATCACCGTTATGGATTTTGATATTTCTGGGGGCCATTTTGCCACACACGTTACTGAAGTAATGTGATACGAGATTAGTTTTATTACATTTTTCCTTGTAAGAAATTTAAATAAAGTGTCATGACTATTTTATTGGTTCCTATGTGAATGAGGTCCACTCGACATGTTTTCTGTAGTTTAAGTGGGAAATTCTACCAAGCAGGCTGAGTGAATGGAAATATCATCAATTTTGAATTCATTAGCATGAAAAAGATACAAATGAATGACTGATTACTGTCCAAATCCCTACGGCCAGCACTGAAACTCTGGTAACATGATTCACCGAAACTCTGGTAACATGATTCACTAAGAATGTATCTTGAGAAGGACGGGACTTACCTGTGACGGGGATATACCCGTCTTCTACCTATCACGTGCGGTGAGATGGTCACGAGACGTGTTTTATCCTATGATACCTATTGGATTTGGCTCTGAAGGCATTAACAGATAAATGAAGGTTCATTGTTTAGAGGAAGCAGAAACAGAGATTCCGGACAATGTTAAATTCGTCCATTATTATTTAATATGGTTTTTTGGTTGCTTGATGGCTTCTGTAAGTGCTGAAGGTAACATTTTCTGCAGATATCAACCTTTTTCATGCGTTGTCTTTCCGTTCTGCAGAAATAAAATTCGATCCCTCGTGGAGCGTTGGTGGTGGTGAATATTGCAAAGAAATCGAAGTCCAGAGAAACAGAAACCGCCGTGAGAAGGAAACCATCTACCGGACAGTTCAGGAGATACCGTCTAACCCGAAGGAACCATGGGACATTGAAATGGATTATGATGATTCATTAACACCAGAAATACCAATAGAACAACCGCCTGATGTTGCTGATACCACTGAAACACAGGCTTCCCATAACAGAGAAGTACATAATGCAGAAACAATGGTCGTTCCTTCTCAAGGAGCAAACAGTGTCGCTTCGTTTCCACCGGCCTTATCTCAAATTAATAATGCTAGCGCAGCTGAACCGGATCTAGAACTGCTTGCCGTACTGCTAAAAAATCCAGAACTGGTGTTTGCTTTGACTTCTGGCGATGCTGCTAACTTGTCGAGCGAGGACACAGTAAAATTGCTGGATATGATAAAGTCTGGTGGGGTTGGTGGGGTTGGTGTTGCTGGTAATGTAAATGGTTTAGGTAGAAAAATGGAGGAGAGGGTCGAAGTTTCTCTTCCATCCCCGACGCCTTCAAGCAACCCTGGAACGGTGCGTTACTCGGCCTCATTTGGCAAGTTTTGCCAGACATTGTATACACTGTTGCAGTTTTTGACTAGTAATATAAAAAATTTATGTGCATTGCGTTCCCATGAGATTTTTGGTAAAAGTTAAACCTCCATTGTATACACTGTATAAACTGCTTGTTTTTCTGTGCTTTTTGCAGAGTGGATGGAAAGGAGATGCTGGAAGGAATGCATTTCCCCAACGGATGCCGCAGGTTTCATCTGCTCATCACATTATTCCGCCGCAACGGCTATCAACTTCCCAACCGGCAGTACCTTCATACTCACCAGATTATCATCGTATGCAATCACCAGCCTCAGAGATGGCTTTAACCATGAAGGACACGCATTTCCACAACGTATCAAACACGGCCGTGCCTTCAGTTTGGGGTGAAAGCACGATCAATCACGAACAAGCTCCCCTATCTAACTCTTATAATGTAGCAGAACGGCAGCAGCCCTTGTATTCCACTCCGGCAAGGCAACAAAGACAGCCGCAGCCAGTACAACAATCCCGTTTTTCTGAACCTCACATTCCTATGTACACGCCTAAACAGCCGATGGGAAAACCCGGCCCTCCATCAGATTCGTGGAGAGCCGGGCAGGATTTGCCTTCAAAGTACCATTACATAGAGAACCAAAATCAGTATAATGCATCTTCTGGAGGGCATTTGCAGCCTCACCTGTTGTCAGGTCCTTCTTGGGAAGGAAATGAACATGTTGGCGGCAACCAAGATTTCCAATCGTGGAGCCCGGATAATAGTCCGCGTAGAAATCCCGGGTATATGTACGGAAGAGAACACAGAACAAACCCGGGACAGGATTACAGGTCGAGGGGAAGGAATCCTGCCGGATACCGGGACCATAATAGGCAGCAGGGAAACAGATGGCCTAATCGCGGCGGACGCTGAGGTCCTATAATCCAGAGTGGATGTGTTAAGAACGCGTTAGTTCTGTTTCTCTCCCTTTTATTGGATCAAGTTTTTGGGCGGACTGGTGACGTGGCACGGAAATCTCAACTCGAATGGATGAGAAACCCTTACTCGAGCGTCTCTCAGTTTTGGGATGACCGGATTATTGAAACGAGTGAGAGCTTGTAAAAGCCATCGTGACTGTTGATCTGGATGCTCATAAGGGACTCTCTACTGATCATTAATTTTAATTTTAATAGGGTGAAAAAAATATTCTAACATTGAGCAGCCTTTATCTCGTTACTACAAACAAATATAAAAATTCTTGGGCCTAATACTTTAATTTGAGGATTGGATTTGTTGACCATCAGAATTGAATTATGGTTTTGGGGGTATAGAACTCACCAGACAATTATTTGGCGAAAAGGGCATCAGGCTGGTCAAATGAAACTTTCTCTTAGCCCTTTTTTGGAGTCAGCCTCTCAGTTGTAATAATTGATTCAAATTCGAATATCAGATTTGAAAACATCTAATGATAATTTAACTAAATTAACCAATTATTATTGAGAGGGTTATGTTTAGCCCTTTTGGTTGGAGACGGTTTATGAGTATGTCTGATACTTTTCATTTAAAAACAATTTTTTGTAGGGCTTTAATTATGGACTTTGGCTATATTAAGCCTTTTCGGTTGGAGATGGTTGTAGGGTCTTTTTCTTACTCTTATGTCTTCTTTTAGTGTTGTTTATAGTAGAAAATTGCTTATATTCTAATCGTCGAAATAGTGATTGTATTATATTTATATATATATATATGTTTGTATTGTACCCAAATCCATGATAATTACCCACATGATATTGTAATATTAATTTAAGATGTTGTAGTGTCGGAGGTGTATCTAAGTCATTTTCAAACTTTGGAATAAATGTTTTTAAAAAAGTTGGAAATGTTAGAAATGATATATAAGAGATACGAAGAACAAGAGAGATTGGAGAAGAAATCAAAGAATTATTTCTTTCTCGTTACAATGCCTTGGGATTTATATAAAAAAGTACTAACTAATTACATATTACATACTGATCCAAAAGTAAACAGCCACAAAATAAATAATATTTAAAGATTTGTAAATTTGATAAATAAGTTTGTATTGCCTTAACCTTAAGAACTAATATAATAAAGGGAACTTTAACAAAAAACTTCCGGTACTGTTCACTTTAATGAAAAATTATATTTTTACACTAAAATGTCAATCATGGTACTATTCACTTTACCATTTATTTTGTCCTTATCGTTAAAACTCAAAGTTTTCAAACATTTTTCATTAGTTTTCCTTATAATAAAATCCTTGTGAGTTTACAGATATGTTTGAAAATAGTTAAAAGTGTTTTCAGTTAACTAAGAGCATTTCCAAAGGAGGTGTCAAATTTTGAACATAAAATTTAAATTTGACAGCTTATGTGGCGTTTTCACATTTTTTAAAGTTGTACTCTCCACCCGATATGTCAAATAAAATTATTATTTTATTATATTACAAAATAAATGATTAAACCAAAAAAAATTTAATTAAAGACGTTTAATACTTATTAAATCAGGACCGTTCATCAAATACACCAAAGAGACATGAATGTCAACACCAGCATTCCTTAGTGTGATCTTATTTTACCGTTATAGTTTATGTGGACATTTTAACATCTCATTTAGAGATGCTCTAAGCATTTCTAATAACGTTTGGTAGTTAAAAGCTTTTTTTATCTATACAAATATTTGGACTCGGATATAATAAAATTGCTTATCCGCAAAAGTGCTTTCTAAATAAGCATTTCAAAAGAGCCTTATTTTTCAGTCTAAACCCATCGAGCCCAAAAGGATATAGGATAAAAATTTGCAAATTCCAAACACAAAAGTTACGTTGACAAAAAGAACGGTTGATACTTGATAGCTTAAAGCCTAATGGCTTCACCTTCACCTTCAAGCTCCATCCTTCTTTCTCAATCTCTGATCGATTTCAAATTCCACCACTGAAAACCCAGTTTCCGAAGACGTTTCTTTCGAGCTCCAGCAATGGGATTCAGATTCCACAATCTCAATTCTGTACGCAAAAGGCTCGCTTTCCACGTTCACAAGCACAATCATCGTCCTCCTCTTCCCAGTCCCACAATATCCCAGCCCCTCGATTCCCATCTGCAAAACCCTATTTACTCGATCGCCAGACGGTGGCATTTGGGCCACTCCCACCACCAAAACGATGATCAGCATCGCCTCTCCGGTGAAGAGGGGGAGAAGATTTTCCGGATGGGATTGGCAGCTGATGTTGGACTGGCTGCCGGGAAAGCTTTGACGGGTTACTTGTCCGGAAGCACGGCGATCATTGCTGATGCCGCCCATTCGGTCTCCGACGTGGTAACATTCTTGTGTTTTTGTTCTTGCTTACCCCATGTTGGTTTTTTTGCTTTTTGGAGAATTGGATGTTAAGGAGCAGAAATTATGTATTTAGAAACTGAATTTTGTAATTGGGAGTCAGGACATTTAGGAGCAGAAATTTGTAATTAGAAGCTGAATTTTGTAATTAGGAGCTGAATTTATGATTTTCTTGCTTCCCCATGTTGGTTTTTGCGAGAATTAGATGTTCTTGTTTAGGAGCTGAATTTTGTATATATGAGCTGAACTTGCATGTTTAGGAGCTGAATTTTCACTGAACTTGCTTGTCAATGTTGCATAATGTCTACTTGAATATGTGTTACTCTTTAGAATTTTGGGGTTGAGTAGAGTTTGATGTACCGACATCTTTCTTTATCTCAGATCTGCTCTGTTTTAAGATGTATCATGCACGCTTCCTTTTTTTTCATTTCTGCTTATGTTTTCAGGTTCTTAGCAGCGTTGCTTTATGGTCATTTAAAGCTGCAAAGGCTCCGAAAGACAAAGAACACCCATATGGTCACTCTTGATTTGTACCTACACGCTACTCCATTGATCTCACATTATGCATATACACCCTACTTGTGTATTTCGTTGCCTTGTGTTTTTTGGAAACTTGGAACATTATACAATTGTTTTCTTGTTTTTCCAGGACACGGTAAATTTGAGACTCTTGGAGCACTTGGAATCTCTTGTATGCTGTTGGCCACGGCTGGTGGCATTGCATGGCATGCTTTGGATCTTTTGATGGTAAATGTCGATTACTCATATGGAGTTACTTTTTCTGTTTCCAAATGATTTCAGATTGATAGACTATTGACTGTTGAAAATCGTGATCAGTTTCTCTTGATATTGAATCCAATTCTTCGTTGATCTTCCATGTACAGGGATTGTTTTCAGCAGATCCTGCTATAGTTAGTCAGTCATTGACACATGAGCATGGGCATAGTCATCGTCATCATGGAGTTGACATGGAGTACCCTGTTCTAGCACTGAGCATGACTGTTTTTTCAATATCTGTTAAGGAAGGGTACCAAAGTTTATAAAACTTTAATTTTTCAAGACTTTTCTTCCATTGAAACGAATGTTAAATTTTATTATCTGACCCACATAGCTGTTTAGGTCATTATGAGTTATCCATCTCAACTTCTATGTTCATTTCTCTCTTTATGCGTGCTCTTCTCCTACGTTTCTCCTCTCTTTCTCTCCCACTCACTATTTGCCTTTCTCTTTGCTTTTAAGACTTTACTGGATTACATTACGGGCTGGGGAAAGACAAGGTAGTGGACTGATGAAAGCAAATGCATGGCATCATCGTGCAGATGCCATTTCGTCAGTAGTTGCTCTCATTGGAGTTGGTAAGACACTTTGGCTTTTCCTACAGATCACTTTGTCAACTTATATTTCATATTCTTGAATTAACTAATTTAAACCCGTGATCCTAAACTGAGCATGGTTAAATCATTGTGATTTTAGGAGGTTCAATCCTTGGAGTAAAGTTTCTGGATCCCCTAGCTGGACTTCTTGTCGCAGGCATGATCCTGAAGGCGGGAATTGAAACTGGGCATCAGAGGTCTGATTTTTGTTCTCTATTATATGCACCATTACATCACACTGCTTCTTAGATTTTCAAAGGAGTACATGTGATTGTTTAAGCTGTTGCACGTGCTGGTTCCTACAATCATGAATATAGTTGCAAAGATATATGGCACCTCTGTATGTCTACCGTTGGTCTTTAATTTTAATCAAATAATGCAAGCTTGTTCACCAAAAAAGAAAATAATGCAAGCTTGATTCATCTCTTGTTGTGTATGCGTATGAGTCTCTGTTAATTTCTGAGGACCCTATTTGATATATGTGTGTGCTTTCTTTCTTTCTTTCTTTCTTTTGGCGGTGTCCCCATTTTAGTGTCTTGGAACTGGTGGATGCTGCAATCCCAGCAGAACTTTTGGATCCTATGAAACAAACAATTGTACAAGTCGAGGGTGTGAAGGTATCCGATTATTAATTCTTATAATGCATTTATGAAATTATTGCTCCATGTATCATCTGGTCTTTGAACTCCCTTACTCAAAGAAAGGCTGTATTCTGTTAAGCTTAATGGTATTAGCTAGGATCTTAGCTTTTTCGTTTTGCTGTTTGAAATGACCTTTCAGGCTGTGTGCAGGGTTGTCATCGCTTGAGGGCAAGGAGGGCTGGTTCATCTCTATACCTTGATGTACATATTGAGGTTCTCTTTGAAACTCTGTGGCGTTGTCAAATAATCCATCTCCTGTTATGTATCTCATTTGTTTCTTTTGCCTGCCAGGTTGATCCTTTTTGTAGTGTTAGCGCTGCACATGACATTGGAGAAAATGTTCGTCGTCAGATTCACAAATCCCATCCTGAAGTCTCTGAGGTTTTCATACACATAGGTATGCTACACATTTTTGGATTGCGAGTTTTCGATATTGAGCTAGACAAACTATGAACGCTCAGTTTTAGACAAACTAGGAATGACTTTTATCCTAATTTTTCGTGTTTATACATTCAGAATTTTCATCCACGGTTCAATTCACTTATATTGGATAAGATGATTCAGGTTTCTCATTATATCTTTTAAATTCTCAAACTTGCTCTTACTTCTTTGCAGATCCTTCAATTTCACAAATTTGCCCCAGTGAAGATCAGCCAGAAATTCTCAAAGAAACTGCATGCCCAAATGTTTCTCCTGCAGAAAAAGACATTGAGGCAGCTGTTTCTACCATCATCTCGTCGAAGTATGCAGAGGTATTTCTTGTCTCTTTATCAAGTTGGTTGTTATTTCTTCACTGGCTGTTGATAAAATATCGATCAAGTTGGATCTTATGATTAGATTTCAAATATCGATCTTATTAGAAGATTGGATTTGAAACAAGACACCCAATGTTCTTGTTTCTGCTTGTGTTTCAGAAAATGGTTGTTGAACGCATAACGCATCACTTGTTACAAGGCAAGATGTATCTCCAAATTGAGGTTTCCATGCCCCCGGACATTGTAATTCGGTAACGCCCTGTATACTTTCACCAACTTGACGATTTCAGTCCCGTCTACAGTTCCATTCCGTAACGGTTTTAATGAAACGTTTCTGATTCCAGAGATGCAATGGAGGTGGCAAAAGAAGCCGAGCAAGACATTTTGACGGCGGCGACGAATCTCATTCACGTCGGCATTCAGCTGCGTCTGAGGAATCCAATTCCACAGTTCAACAGTGACTAAGAAGCCAGAAAGAAGGCAAGTGTGTGTTAGACTACAGGGTTTTCCAATTCCACAATAAAAATTTATTCTTTTAGGTTTTAGATTATTTGCATATATGATATATTAGAATAATAAATTAATCTTTGATTACGAAAATAATATATTAATTATTAAAATTTGTCTCTCATAAATGTGTTGTTACAAATTTCTCAATTTGTTGAATGTTTACTTTGAAATTTTTTTCTCCAATACATGCAACCTTATCCAATGTATGAATGCATCCTATACACCGGGATATTTAAAATTCCAATTATTTTAATATAATAATCAAATTTTATTCTACTAAGTGGGGTTATCTTTATGAATCATAAAATGCAACTAGGCTCGATTTAAAGTCAAAGTCTTTTGTGAGCTTCAAGTATTCCATATTTTTTTTTTGTAAAGTCTATTTCCGAGTTTTTCTCTACCTTTTTTATCCTAATCTTTTGTTTGTCTGTCTTCAGTTCACGTGTCCAAACCACCTTAACTGATTTTTGCTCATTTTAGGTTCACTTGTCCAAACCACCAATTTATGTGTCTAAACTACCTTAACTGTCTTTTGCTTACTTTACCATGGAAATTATCGTTCTTAATTTTATTATTTCTCGTGTGTCCAATTAACCTAAGTATTTTCATCTTCGCTGCACTTATTTTTCACTTTTTGACCATCCAAAATTTCAGTTATTTTGATGCTCCATTAATATTTGTTATTAGGGTTAATGTTTTTTTTAGTAAAATAATAGTTTTAGTATGTCAAATAGTTAATTGTCTTTAGGATTAATTGGGTTTATGGTCTTGAATCTGTCCACGACTTACATTTAGGCCCCTTAAAATTAATAAAATTAAATGTCTTGGATTTTGATTTTAGATGATAAATTCAAGACAATTAAAACAAAACAATTAGGCCAAAGAAATCTGGGGTTTTTTTTTTTTTTTTTTTTTTTTGGGTTATAAAATTGAAAATAATACGGAAAAAGAATGAGAAACCAAAAAATAAAGAAAAAGAAAATAGAGAACCATTGATCAGATAATTGTAGTCTGTAATTTAGTCGACACGATGGAAATTCCGATAAACATATCATCACGTCAATGGTTCTTGATTAAACAGAGAAATTAAAACCCAATAAAATTAAATAAATAAAAAGGAAAAATTAAATAAAGAAGAAGAGAGTTGAGGCTCAGAAGGATCCATTGGTAATTTTGTAATCACAGTAGGGAATTTAATCCCTCAGAAAATAGGTAGTTTTTCAGCATCACTGCCTCAAACTCAAACCCCCTTCTTCTTCCTACTCTATATAATCAAATTACAAAAACCCTAATTTACAGAAACCCTAATTCTAGAGAGAGACGGAGAAGGTGATTGCTGTGACAGAAGAGGGCTGAGCTCTGAATATTTATAGAAGCGCGATTCAAATTAGGGTTGAAGGGTCTTGCCGTCTTATGGGAGGGCAATTTTCTGCAGCCCAATAGGGCCCATTGAGCAATGGATGTTACCAAGCTGGAAGTGACAATGGGCTTATTATTCATTTCCAAATCCAATAGTAGGTAAGAGCCCTGTTAAGTTTTTCTAATACAAAAGATACTTGGCTACTCAAATATGAGTAGGAACTCCTACTCAAAATTTATCAAAATTGTTCGTTGTAAATTTATAGAACTTTGTGTTTATAATCAGAATCGTTCATATTATAAATCACCCTATAAAGATTGCCTCTGCAAAAAATCAATTAAAACTAAGGTCATTTAGTCATGAAACTGTTTAAAAACAAATGAATGATATTGGTAAAAGCATTACGAACCGTCTATGTATTTGCTACAATAGATTTACTAAACGACCTTAGTTTTAATTTATTTTTTTGCAGAGATGATATTTACAAAGTGATTCATAATATGAACAATTCTAATCATAAACACAAAGCTCTGTGATTAAAACACTAAGGGTTTTGAGTAGGAATTCCTACTCATCTTTGAGTAGCCAAGTATTGTTCCTCTAATACACGTTAGAATTGCATATATAAGTTACACATTTGATAACCACTGTTAGATCATTTAACTTAAAAGAAACTAACCGTTTTTTAATCAGATGTGTAATTTATATGTGCATTAAAGAAAACCTCAGAGGTCTACACATTAATGCTTGATAAACCAACTCACTCATATTTCAGTTGGCCAATGCATTGTGCTTGTAATCTTGAATCATATTTGAATCCCCTTCTGTTGTAAAACGTAATAGTTTAAAATAAAATATTGTTTTGTTAGAAAATAAACTAAATAAATCCATTCATACTATACTCTAATATATAAACTTGTTATCCATTTATATTATAACACTAATATACCGTGTGACAGCTTTTCAGTGTTTTTATAGTCTTGTGGTATTCCTCCTTGCTTGTTTCAAGGCATTGATGTAAACGTTTAACATTCATTCCAAAGGGAAGGCAAAGTCCCATTCAAGTAATTTATTAATATGAAAAGAAAAACACAAATGGGATTTTCTGAATTAAGCAAATGTACCAAGAGCTTCTATCATCTCATTGGGTCATACTTAGTACATAAAATGCAACTTGGGTTGATAGAAAAGGGCACAAATTTGACTATACCGAACGAATGTGGACCTTAATCCGGGCCTAAAATAGCCCAAATCTCAAACGTGTCACCGAAGCAAAACAAACCCTAGTCTGCTTCTTCCCTCTTCTTCTCCTTCTTCTGCAAGTAATGGATAAATCGTAAATGTAGATATTATAAGGAACATTATTAAGGTTTACTCAAACATCCCAAATCTGCTTTTCCATAGCCGAATCTCCGTGCGAGCGTTGTTGCTGCTGCTGAAAAGGGTTCATAATTGCCGGCAATCTGTGCTGACTCATTGCCTCCAAGTCCAACCTTTGCTGGTGGTGGTGGAGCTGCTCATGCAAGCTTGGCGGCCTCGACCCTCCGATGCCCAGCAGATCGAGCGTTGTGGAAGGCCCCAGCGCGCTGTTCATTCGATGCGTCGAATTAGTATTACTAGAATTGTTGTTAGGGCTATTAATGTCCTGATGATCATGATGATCTTGTTCGAAATTCTTCAACATTGCCTGGTGGTTCTGATAGTTCTGTTGGGGACCCCCGCCGCCGATCCCCATGAAGACTTGACTGAAGAGTCCCATGTCATTCATTGCCGAGCTGGCGGATGGGTTGTTGGAGTGATGATCAAAATGCTGTGACATTTCTTGTGGGCCCTTTTGCATGAGCTGGTTAGTGAACCCTCCGATCATGCTGTGTGAATTATGTGACTGAGGATCAGACGGCTGAGGTTGCTGTTGGAAGTGGTGAGGCTGATGATCATACGATGGTGGGGGTTGAATATTATTGTTTAGAATGGAATTAGGGCTAGAGAGGTGGCCGTGATCAGGGCCTGCCATATTGCTAAGAAAGCTCTTCTGCATCATCGGCGAGTTGATCGTGGAGTTGCTTGCAGTGGCTCCCATTTTGGCTGCTTTTTGAAGCAAGGCGGTGGCTGACATTTGAGCAGCCCCTGTAATACTACTTAGGCTGCTGCCTCCGTTTTTGGTTTCTTGGTGGTGAAGGTAATTGAACCCTGATGAGCTGTTGTTGTTGTTGTTGGAACTCAGCTGAAGGCTGGAGGCCGATGTGGAAGACACGCTTCTTGGCCCGCCAAAGAGCGAACCGGTGGTGTTAGAGAACATGCCTGGTCCTCCACCACCGCCGCCACCACCTGGGATGTTCATGTTCATGGACTTGAATGGCATTGGGACAAGATCTTCAGGAAGCTTGTTTTTGTTAGTGTTAATATCGTAACTGAGGAATTCGGAGACTCCTCCTCCCATGGGGGAGGTGTTGGTGTTCATGGCCATTGATGATATGAGCTGATCATGTGGCATAGGCATTTGGTTTACTTTGTTGTTTTCTTCTGCCAATGCGTCACAAAAGGCTCTGTGGGTGATAAAACTATCCCTTCTGCACAAACTCATGCAAAAATACATCATTTGTACTTGATATTGTTTGATTACATAAAAATTTGGAAGAAGAATGTATAGTTATCTTAATTCTAAAAATAATAAAATTATTTGGACATACAAAACAGACAGAAAACTAATATAAAAGGACCCTATCATTATGTGAACTCCATGTATGTTAAAAACTGTCAATAAAATGTGTCAATATTGTATGTCTAAACGGTAGTTGAAAGGAAGAGTTATGACATAAAATTGAAAGGTTTCAAAAAGAGATTGATGAATGTAACTTTATTTCAATTATTTCCCATTTCTTTCCTAAATGTATATTTTTGCGTTTGGAGGGCTCAATCCAACATGCTCCACTACACTAAAACTCATTTTACAAATACATTTGTGGCAGTTTGTAAGAAAAATGCTGCAGAAATTATAACTATCTCATAGAATAATAATAACGTAGTCAAGTTGGTTAAAGTAAAGTGATTCATAACGCGTTGGAATTTTACTCTTTGTAATATAGTATATAGATTAATTTAGTAAAATTATCGCTTAGTATGAAAATAAAATAATATATGTATCCATTATGTACACATATGGGAGCTAATTCTCGACAAATTAAGCAACCATATATACATGTAGTACTTTTTTGTGATCCAATCTTGATTATATGTTCATGCACATGCAATATTTAATTAACAAAATTAAACTATCCTTGAGTATGAGATAATTAACGAACCTGGAAAAGATGGTCCCACAGTCACACTTGTACTCCCTAGTGCCGCAGGTCTTCTGATGCGCCTTCCAGTCCGACTGCACTGCATATTTCTTGGAGCACTTCTCACATTTCCATTTTTTCTCCCCATGTTTCCGGCTGAAGTGCTTCTTAATGCCGGTGAGGTCTCCTAGCGCTCGAGCTGGGTTGTGGTGGACACACGTCGGCTCGGGACATATGTAGACCCTTTTCCTAACCTCAGTTGTGGTTCTCTGACGGAGCTTCCATGGAAGGTTATGGCCTCGCCGGTGCAGCTGAAGGTTTTGATCCCTTTGAAACCCTTTGTTACAGATTTCACACACAAATCGGTTCGTTGCCATTAGGGTTGTTGGTGATAGTGCAATAACTTCCGCAGTAGGATCTGATCACAAATTAATACAAAATTGTTAGAACATAATTAATTAACTTGCACAACTATAAGTATAATTAGCAATACTAGTTGTTTATGCTACACAGCATATATACTTGTGACCAACAAAAAAGTGAAATCAAGCAAACAGTTCTACTTTATTGGCAACAATTCTTCAAAATGTTTTGATTCTTTCACAAGATAACTCAATTTAGAAACTCCCATTTTTAAGAAGAAGAATATATATTGCTGAAATGAAAAGATTACAAGACTCAAGCATGGCGCCAAATATAGGTAAACATTCTCCAGTGATCACTCTCAACGTCCAGTGATGAGTCTCAACATAAAAGCTGACATGATTCGGAAAGAAACCCTTTTTATGTTCTTCTAAAATAAATCAAATCCGTGCGCCTTGAGTTGTATGTCATACATATAGTGAAACTCGGCAATCAAATCGAGGAAACTACTCGACATTAGTAGTGAAGAAATTAATTCAAAACTATTTGCCTGGAGTTCCTGGAAGATTTCTTTTCTTCTTAAGAGGAGGCTGCTGCGGCTGCTGATGAGTGACAGAGCCATTACTGTTGCTTTGCGCACCGGAAGCACCGCCAGAGTTGGAACCGTGCAAGTGGTTTTGTTGCTGGTCTTGATGAACTTCTAATTCTCCAGTATTATTCCCTGAGGAGAAGCTTCCTTCTTCAACATCACCTGTAATATTTGGCATTTTTGACAGACAACAAGGGTTGAGAGATGATTATACAATTAAAATTACTTAGCTTGTCCTTTCTAACACTTAGCTCAAATTTTCTATGTTGGTAGAAGGACTAGAGGACTAGAAACTTGTTTTTGGCGAACAAAAATTCAGGAGTTGCTTTTGGTAGAGGAAGACAAAAGCAGGGAATTCAGCTCCTTCATTTCTGGTGATACTGGTGAGAGGAGGAGAAGCAACTTTTGTGTCTTTGGCCTTACATAATTATATATAGTGTTCACAAGACACATTATTGAAATACTTAATTTA